GGGCCGCTTCCCACCCCCTTCCTTCCCCTGCCGCGCCCTGCGCCCGGCGAGATGCTGCGAGCGTGCCAGCGCGTGGGGGTCGCGGTAGCCGCGCAGGTGAGGCAAGGCAGGGCCGGGCCGGGCCGGTCGCTGGGAGGTGGCCGCCCTTCCGCCCCCCGGCGGCCCATGGAATGAATCGAGCTTGTGGATGTGAGGAGGCACCGGGGGCGGGATGCGGCGGCGCGTTCTCCAATCGCTGCTCGGCTTTTTCTGACTGGCAGGGGGTCGGCAGGCGTTGATTGGCTGCTGGGCTCGTGCGTGACGCGGGCAGCGAGGCGAACTAGCCCGGGCGCATGGGAGGACTGAAGTGACTACAGGCCCTAGCATGCAACGCGCGCGCGCTTTTGCACCCACGCTGCATGCTGGGGCTTGTAGTCCCGGTGGTGGGGGGGCTCTGAGATCAGGATCTGGGAGCAGGAGGCGGCATAAGCACTGCGGGGGTGGGGAGAGTCCGACCCCACAAGAGCCGAGGGACACTAAAAATACCAGAGCGGCTGGACTCCTTCGTGGCTCTGGAAGGACATGACCTTGCCTGCTTGTGACTTCCTGCCACTTCCGTTCTCCTGCTTCTGCTCCCAGCGCTGCAGACGGACCAGTCACGACCTTGGAGCTGTGAAAATGCCCCGTGTCTCGGCGTGCACCGACGTCTGTCTCTTTATGTCATAACCTCTGCTGGCCCCAGGGCGCTCGTCTCTTGGGAAACACCAAAGTGTCCTATAAATAGCAGAGCTCCTAATGTGTGAGAGCTGCTTCTGTTTGAGGCTGTGAGTTTTTTAAAGCATAGCCTCATGTCATGTCACTAGCGCTGCCATCTCCATTCCTGTACAGGTACTCCTACTGAACGTCATCCCGGTTAACGGCGTTTCATTATTACGTCGCTAATCTGTTACAGAACATACGCATTGAAAGTCGTGCCGTGTTCGGTTGTAACGTTGTTTGGCTGCTGCCTGCTAGTAGGTAACTACTGTGACATGATTGGATTCGCTTAACATCATTTCACTTAAAGTCGCATTTTTCAAGAATGTATCTACGACGTTAAGCGAGGAGTAGCTGTGACTTAATTCTCCAGGAGCCTGACTCCTGCTGCCAATGGCAGGGTGGGGACAGGACAGGGACCTGGCTGTCTTGACTGTCACAGAGAAATGTTGTTCCAAAAATTGGCCAACTGAAAATAATTTCTGGAGCTTTGAGCTTGTCTCGCACTGGGAGATTTTAGGAGCTTGGTGCTTTTTCTTTTTAAAGCTGTCTTTTAAACTTGTCCGGGGATCTTAAGCCTGTGTAGATTAGACAAGTGTTTGATTTGAATGTCATGCATCTTTCATTATAGAAGCATGTAAACTGAACTGTCCTGGGGTTTTGCTGCATTCTTCTGTGTACATTAGGGTTTTCCAACCACAGAGCTCAGCAACGAGCAAAACAACCACTATCGGGGCACGATGGCTTCATAGTTCATGTGGAACCGCTTCGGAGCTGGCCAGCTGTTTTACTGCAGCAGCTCTTTGTTGCTGTATAAGGCTGCAGAGTTCTCCATGCCAAGTCATCTGACAGCCTTTAAGGGGCCAGGCTTGTAAGCTGTGGAAAGTTTGAGCTGTGAGGTGGGGAATATAGAATGACTCTGAGGCTGCTGGATGTGTTTCAGGAGTCTTACACACGCACACACACACACGCCCTTCCTTTCTGGTCCTGAGGTTTTTGGGTGAATTTTTACCAACTTTGGAAAGTCAGGGTTGAACTGTAGAGCTCAAAAATGGGGCTGTATTCTGGAATGTGGGTGTGTAAATCATCTCAGGGTTGCATGTGGCCTTCCCATTTATTTTGTTACTTTATAAATGAGTAGATCTTAGAGATGAAGTTTGAAAGGAGATGGCCTCCACCTCCTTGACTTCAGAGGGGTGGGGGCTACTGCAGATGCCAGAAGCGCATGGCATATTTGTAGCACTTTCCTGAGTGTTTCCTGAGTCACTCTCCTTCCTGGAATATAAATATTAGATAAGGTCTGGAGATGCTTTGGGCTCTAGACATTGTACTGTGCAAATAAAGACAATTGCTGCCTCACAGAGATAATTGAGAAATAAACAGCTTTTTGTGGGGGGGGGTTGTTTGTTTTTTGCTTTTGGCACGCTTGCCACAAATTAAGCCCTGTATTTTCCCCAAGAACTACACTAGACTCCACCTCCTTCCCGATTTGCTGCTCTGCTCTCTGCTCCTACCTCTGATCTGTGTGCCAACACACAGAGGCTCCCCATGGCATTTATGGTACACAGGTTGGTCACCTCTGCCCTAGAGAATGATGCAGATTGATGGAGCTGTGCTGTCAGTTCAATTCTGTATCAAAAGTCATTTTTGGTATCTTGGCTCCTGTAAGCAGAAATGAAACATTTGTTGTTCTTGACTCACGAAATGACAACAAACAACCAGGAAGAGGCTTTTTGAAGTCTGTGGAGAGACTATCGTGTCAATTTAGATTTCCTGTCATTTTACAGTAGTGAAATAGTGGGACGAGAGATTAACTAGTGACTTTATGAATTATTAATGTAGACTCGATGTAGTAACTGTTGGTCAACTGGACAAAAGAGCACAAAGCATTTTGTGAAACAATGCTACTGTTACCTGTCCTAGCAAAGGTGTGTTGTTCAAAAGCAGATGAGGGGCAGTCTCTGCTTACCAAAACACTTCAGCATTGTTTTAGTAGGGAAGGTTTGCCTGGCTTCCATCTTTTCTTCATCTCTGCTGCATCTTTTAAGAGCAGTCAGTAAAGTCTTGTCCAAGTTAAGACTATGTCAGGTTGTCCGACCAGTGGGAGCACTGATGGTGGCTGGTTGCAATAATTTCTACCATGCAGTTGTCTGGGTCAGCTCTGAGCTGTAACTACTGCTAATATAGTGGTGGAAGAATTGCCGAAAGAACCCAATTCAAGGTATTAGCAGATCTAAAGCTGTGTAAAAAGAGAGAAACTAGCTTTTCTGCCTGTGTGCAAGATTCTGGAACACTGTTTATCATGAAAATGTACAAACAGGTGTATTTCATTACTATATCTCCTTTGTATCTGGATCTGACTCACTGGGATGTTGAAGCAGGCACATTGTTATCTGTACCTGGTGAGTATGTCTAAATTCCAGCTGCGTGCTGCAGGCCAAAGTTGTGATTGTTATGTGTAGACCAACAGTTCTCAGCCAAGGTGTCACAGCATCCTGGGGTCCATTGAGATCCTTTCAAAGGTGTCACACAATGTTAGCGCTGTTAGATGTGCAAACGTGGTTCACAGGATAAACACAGATTTTTAAATAGGAATCCACAGTGTTAAAAACCTTTTGACCTTTGGTGGTCTTCCTGAGGAATTGCTCTATTCTTATTTCTGTTGTCAAAAAAAAGTGAGTGAACACGAAGGACTGGGGTTTTCTGAATCACGTGGCATCTTTGTAAAAGCAGGGGTGGGCAAAATGCAGCTTGTGTGGCCCCTAAAAAATTTAGAAAATTAATATTTATTTGCCCCTGGCTACCTGTCATGTGGCCCTCAATGGCTTGCCAAAACTCAGTAAGCGGCCCTCTGTCTGAAATAATTGCCCGCCTCTGGTATAAAGTGATAAATGGAAAAGCCTCTTGAAGTAGTAACTGCTAAAAGAAATAATGACAAGTATTGTGTTTACAAAGGATCAACACCTGATGGGTTTCCTTTCTGATGACTTTAACCATTCATCATGCTTCCTGACTGCCTCATCATACACCATAAACTTCACTTATGTCTGCAGCTAAGTTATTCTTTATAAAGAAGCTTTGCCCAAGTAAGCAACTGCACTTCTTGTCACTGGGCACATAGATTTCTGTTGCTAATTAAAAGGAGTTGGATGCAGTTTTGGAAAGAATAAGAAATCAGTGCATTGTGTTCCTGATTCATGTCCTAACCTGTCTGAAGAATTATGGGACTAATATCATAATAGAGTAAGGATATCTTAAACCATGAATTTATTTCAAAGTATAAATCATCAAAATAGGAATTATTTTTCTTGGTTACATTTCCTAGGATGCAAAGCTTGCCTCATGTTTAAACTCAATGGGGAGAGAAAATGTTTTCCTTTGACCTGCATGCTTCACACAAGTCCTGTACTTTTCCATTAGATATTAATTTCTTTGTCTTTTGTTAGAACTGCTAAGAGGGAGAGGGTTTTTTTTCTGATGACTTGGTTGGGCTGGTTTAACTGATCTTTCCCGTTAGCGTTTTCATATTCAAATGAAATGTATTGGAAATGAGGACTTGACATAATACCATTGCAAGCTTTATTACCTAGCTTATTAAAATTTGAATCTAAAACTCTAATTGTTCATAAAGGGACTGACTTTCAGTATAGCTCTTCTAAGAAGATGGTAGCTTTGGCCCACAATCTAGTGTTACTGAACATTTATAGAAATGTTTTTGTCTTTAAAAGCAAATGAAAATCACTTCAAGATTTAGACATTCCTTGTCACTGTTTGCATCTTAAGTTATTGCTGAGTTATGTTGATGCATCAGAATCCTGAAGTGAAATAAGCTAGTCTAGTTGTACCATCCAAAGTGAAGGGCAAAATATAGTCAGGCAGCAAAAATGGAGGAGGAGATTCTCTTCCCCGCCCCACCCCAAATCATTTTGGTTTTTAATAGTTTATACTATTGGTAATATAAATCAAAGTTTTTACTTGTAGTTTTTTTGTTGTTGTTAATTTGAAAGTGATTGTAACGTCATTAGAGTAGACTCTTTTTATTAGGGGAAACTAAATCTTGTTTTGATGTTACTTGTTTTTTTCCACACCTCTTACTGATGCATTTTATATGTTCCCCAGAACATATATTTTAATGAGATTTGAATTGGGTTGAAAGTAGAACATTAAAGACTTTAAAAAAAAATTGCATGCAATATTTGATTCTCGCCTTTCTTTAGAATTGCCGGTGTGGTAGATCTTCATTCCGTCCATCACAGCTGTGCCGTGGATATGCAACATCCGGAGAATCGGGGTATGTAGTGTTTCATAGGCAGTATTGACACTTCTATTTTGTCTAATTCGGGAAGAGTAAGTTAGTTTGCAATTTTCCCGTAGCATGGGACTTAAAATTAGAAATAGTAAAAGTTCATATGCTTTGATCCACCAGGTTTCAGGCAAAGCCACATCACAGTGGTCAGTGGCTGGATGGGAGTTGACCAAGAAGAGTGAGGTGGTTAATCATCAGTTTTCTGGCTTTGGCTACTCCTGAACTGGTGCCCCAGTATGGACTCTGGTGCTGGAGGAGCAATCATTCAGATGAGATTTAAAACAGATCTTAAACTTCTCTGGCAACTTGATCCCAATTCTGGGTGAAGAACTCTCTTGAAAAGTTGACTCTTAAGAGTTTGTTAGCTGGCTGCTCGTGGCTGTAAATAGTCTGGAAAGTTGCAGCCCCAGATATCTTTCTTAGCTTTATGGCATTGCTTTTTATAAACTACAGACATCAATTTGCTTAAGAACACTTGCTTCTGTTGTGCCTCCTCTTTCTAAAGCAGATTTTAGGAAATTCAGAGTAACAATATTGTGACTGTTTGACTGAATTTCAACTTAGCAACGTCGATTTAGATTTGCTTAGAGGGGCTAGAATTGTTGTGAACATTGAATACCTATAGGCCTTATTTTTTTCAAAAGGGCTAGTTTTCAGAGCTAAACTAACTGTTTAAAATCTATTCAGTTTTAATCTCAGAAGTGATTTGCCATATGCTTGGCTTGACTTTTACCTAAAGAACTCTCAATCTTATTTCTTTTCTCCAGTGTTTCTGCAGGCAAAATCATTGGGGCAAGTGTTTTGGTTGTGGGTGGAGGAGTTGGTGGTACTGTGCTGTATGCTAATTATGATCCACGTTTCCGGGAGAACGTAGAGAAGACCATTCCATACTCTGATAAACTCTTTGAGGTGGCACTTGGTCCTGCCCCATATAGTATACCAACGCCAAAGAAACCGGTAAGTTTGGGGAGTTTTCTTTTTTGCTGAACGCTTTTACAAAACCATTTGCTGTGTTTTGCAGACTCCAAATGACACTTAGTTCAGTATATGTTAGACCCTGGACATATGAAAGCAGAGTACTTTAGAAAAAAATCATTGTATGTTCCTGTTTATCTTTGAAAAAAGGAAGGTACTTTATGGAGCTGAAATTAAATAAGTATATAATAAAAGCTGCACCAAAGTAATTGGTAAGTCACTAGAAGAGAATATGAAATAGGAAAATGTTTGTTCCTTATCTTATAATTACATAGAGTTTTGCACTACTCCTTAGATGTTAACTTGATTCAACAGTCTCAAGTGAATTTTGGTATATGGGTTCTAAAAGCCTGTTTTTATTTGACATGTAAGATGTCATGTGGCTGTATTTTTGTGTCTGATCGTAAATGATCTACAGGGGGTAGAGGGGGTAGTAAAAGATGGCATACTGATGACATTTCCATTTCTATTCCTGAACATGTAATATAGTTAACCTTGGAAGTATAGTTGAGAAATATGCTAGACCAGCCTGACTTAGTGTGAGGAGAACTGAACATTTTAGAAATCATTAAACATAGGAGGGAGAGAGAACAACAAATTGTGTGTCATATTCTGGGGTCCTTGTTTTCTCTGTTAAAAACCCAAAATTCTCTAATAAAACCCCCAAATCCATGTTTTTCTGCAATTAAAATGAAGCACTGCTATATATTTAGGTATCAGTTGAATGTAATATTTTATTAATATATTTACAGTTTTAAAGCAATTTGGAATCCTACCAGTACCGTAATCATTATAATAAAATTAATTCTAAATACCTATATATTTTGGCATTTGATTATTGTTTTTTATCATGGAAAATCAGAGCTCCCCTGTCCCATTCACTTGCTGGGACACAGCTCCAACTGTGGCTGTCATCTGGGTTTTGGGGAAATATATTATTAACTGTAGTGTCAGACTGACAGAAGTGACAAAAACCTGTCTGTCACTTGTCTAATTACGCATTATAAGCTAAATAGTCTCATTAACCTACCTTTCAGCCACTAGGAAGTTGGGCAGCCTTGGAGTCTCATGCCTGGCAGGGGGCCACATTGCTGTGGGCATCAGGCCCCCTGCAATGCTCCCCCCCCCCGCTGCACAGAGGATGTGTAGGCTCTGCGCTTGCTTGCTGCATGACTGCCCTGACTTACCTAATAAAGGCTCTGATAAGTCCTCCTATTCATTCCTGAATGGGGAATGGGTGGAGGAACCTTGTAGCCACCTGGCCTTTAGAGCAGATGAGCTCAGTACTAACTTCCAGCTCCTTTTAAAGAGAAATCAGTGCAGCTGTTCATAGGCCAGAACTCATAGCCAAAGCAGTTATAGCCTGTGGTCAGTGATGAAATAACCATTGATACCTGACTTCTAGATCTATTACCTGTTATCATGAAGTCATCTACCTGTAAAATGATTGTATTCCTCTCCTGAAACTTAGAGATTTTCATGTTTCTTCATCCCCGTGATCTTGATAGCCTACTCAGAAAAAAAGGCTCTGAGGGATAATTAGCAAGATTCTTAATATCAAGTGATAGTTCTTGAGCAAGGACCTAGTGTTACCCTTGGTGCTCTGTATTTTGACGGGCAAGATTTAACATTTTCCATCAGAACAGGCTTGGTTTCTCCGTTTTTTAGTGCTGATTGTGATATTGGCAGAACTCTAACTTGGAGGTAGTAGCCAGAAGATCCCTTAGAACTTCTCTTGGCTATCAGTGAGTGTCAGCGGCCTAAACTCAGAGCCCCTTGGTTGTCTTCTACTCCTCCTCTGCCAAAATGGATGTCCTCCCATCAAGGCAGTTTGCCATGAAGTAGAATATTGAAGTAAACTGAAGATTTCTCTCGGGGTGCGGGGGGGACACACAATTTTATTTCTGAGTGGAAATTGTCTGGCTTAACCATGAAGAAAGACTTCATCTAGCTGTAGCTTGGCAGAGTGACTGCTAAGGGAGGACATTGACTAGAAGTGCATAAAGACTGTAAGTGGCAATAGGGAGAAGAAATGTTTTGTTTTTGAGGCTGTGTTGTTAAAGTTAACCTTTTCTTTTCAGTTTTATCTTGTTAAGCTGAATGTCTCAAGTTGTTAGGGGAGGTTTAGCAAACTATGAATTACTCTGTGTGGAAATCCACATTACCTAATGCTGTGTGAGAGCCACTGGACTTTTATTACTGTATTTAGTGTCTGCAAACTGTCTACATTGGGGGTGTCAAACTCACCTGGGTTGGATCTGGACTTCAGGGTTTCTTGCTGGCTGGATGTGTGAGCGGGGGTTAAGACAGTGGTCACTTGTCCCGCTGCTCCATCTTCTCCCACACCAAGGATATGCGTATGCCCCTGCTTGCCTTGCCCCCCACCCTTAGGAGCATTCTAGGCCCTGTGAAATGGCTCAATGGGCTGGATCTTTGACCCCCATTATATACATTAGTTCTCTTCATTCTGCTAAGCTCCTTAGAGTACATCCAATGTTTGGTGAGGCAGATTGTTCAAATTTCTACGTATTGATATCATCGGATGAAGTAGGCTGTTGCCTATACTTCTCTGAATGAGTCAGCCTCGAAGATTAGGGTCTGCCCTGACCTCCCTTCTGTCTAAATTTACTATGTAAAATGATTTACCATGGAAAATGAGGTCATTGTACAGTCAAGGCTATAACCAGAAAATTTAAACACATTTTGTTCTTAATTCTAGTAACATTTTGGATTACTTAGAAAATCTGATCTGCCATTCTCTGGTGTAACTTTAGTCAAGTAGTAACAATGCGCTTGCCCCTATACATCATTGCTTTTTCTTTTCTTTTCTTTTTTTAATATTGCCTTGAAGAGTGGCCACTGCCACCACTCCCCTCCTGCCAAATTTCCAAGGCCTGCCAGTTTCTACACTTGTATGTGTACACTCTCCCTTTTTGGGCATAAGAGTGAGTGAGGTATGCCACCAATTGTAATCCAGAAAAAGTGTGCCCCAGGTATCAAAAGTTTGGGAAACACTGTTTTAGAGTATAAGTCTTTATATACTGTCAGAGTCTACGATAATTTAAATTACTTTTTTTGAAGAAATCCTATCTGTTTGTTCATTTTCGAGATACAGCCTGGTGCACTAAAAATCTCCTCTGTAACAGAGGTAATGAAAGAATCAAATCTGCCCAGTACCAAATCTCAGAAAAGTAAAACGGAAGCTCCTGCAACTTCAGGGGAACAAAAAGAAGGTAACTGAATAAGTGTATATTAAGATGGCCTTTAATCTGAAGGGAAGAACAAGATAATTTTTTTTTATATATTTCACACTGCCTTATTAGGTGGTGAAGCTGTTCATAACTGTTCAGACTGGTGTTTTGTATATTGTTTAGATTATATTTGTTATAAGAGATTTAACTATTCTAGTGTTGGGGAAATTTGCCCATAGCTGTTATGTCCTCTTTATATGATTACTTTTTAACAAGCTAATGCAAATCCAGAAATTCTAGGTAAATCTAGGAATTGAACAGCCAGGCACTTCAATTGGCTGGACTGTGTGGCTTGTACCAGGGTTCAGTAAGGAGTTTGATTTTGGATTCTTGTTTCTTACTTCTTCTAGAGTTTAGCAGGTGCAAGGGGCTTAGTGTGGACAAATTGCCAAGTTCCTTTAAACTTGGGTCAAGCAAAATTGGTTTATTAAGAGATGTTCTCTCTACTGTCCCTCCCCTTAACTGAAATTGGGTGGGATTAGGGTCTGGTTGTCTTCTACCATTTACGATCCTCACCTTGTGGGAGGACATGGATTATTTACGCCTGATATGGAAGGTTCTCTCTGCATAAAAAGTAGTACTGTACATGGAGTTATCTACATGATAAAAAGCATGTAAATGCAGATATGTAGGATACTATTTGTATTTAACCATTTCTGTTTGTATATACAGCAAGCTCAGAAGTAGCTCAGATCATTTCTGCAGCAGGTGAAGCTGTGTCAATCCCCGCGCCAGGTATGCAGGATGAAGAGCGTGGAAAAGATCATGTGCATGAACACCATGAAGGAAAACACAAACCTGCTGCACCAGGTGCTTAAATGATTTAGATATGTTTTTCAGATCTAGGGACTTGATCCCGTCTGCCTCCTTCATACTGCACCTCGCCAACCTCAGTGGGTGTTCTGCATGCTAAAGGACTGCGAGATTGAGTCCAGTGACATGTGTAAGCTCAAGTCCTTTGATAAAAGATTTCTGGGCAAAATCTGAACTGTGCACAGGCCGCTCAGTCTCTGATCGGTGTCTTCCTAGTCAGAATTGCGCTTGGCTGACTGTTCAAGGCCTCAGTGAATAGGCATTACTTAGGATATTATAAAAGGCACAATTGCACCTGTACATTGGTAGTACTTTCAGTATTTTGTTAGTTTTATACAACAACAGATAATGCCCAGAGTAAATGAATATGCACCACCTACTATCAGAGTTAGTGCGAGCATTAATAGACAACCTGGCCTTGTGCTTGGCAGAGGAGGACTGGGAGCCAAGAGATTTGGGCTCTCCTCTCAGCTCTTGTGTAGACTTCAGGATTTCAGAAAACTGCTTTAGGTCATAACATTTGAATGTTCACTTTGAATGTTTGCGTTGGGATAAGCAGCCTTTTAGGCTGTATCCAGAGGAGCATAGACATGCAGTATGTGATGTCGCAGACCTGTCTGCAGCACCACACACTGCAGGCATTCCCCTACACTGCTACCTTGCAGTGTGGGGGTTTATTTTGACCCTGGGAGATCCTGGGGTCAAAGAACCCACACTGGAAAAAAGTAGAGTAGTACATGTGGCAGCAGCACATGCTGCCCAAAACCAGAACTTGTCCAGCTGGAACCATGCTCTGGCTGCCATTCAGGTTTCCTGCTGCAGCTGCAGCCTCAGGAGGCTCCCAAGACCCCAGGTAAGGCTGCTGGGGCCAGCACAGTTGCTTCCTCGTGTCAGAGGAGTGCATGCTGGCCATTCCCTGGGGGCAAGTAGCAGTGGCACAAGGTGTGCTGCTGCTACTTGTCCCTGAGGAAACGAATGGTCTGTACTCACCTGGAAGTGCCCTTAGAGTGGGAAAGCAGAATACTGCTCCGTTTCACTGTAGCTTCTTCTCTGTGCTCAGCCAGGCTAAGTGCTCAGCCTGAAGTTCTCTATTGTGCTAACAGAGCACACACACAAATGTTCTTATCTATCATATCAGAGTTCATGTTTAGCTTGCTAAGAGTTTCTTAGCACTCATTCCTGCCCTGCTTTGTTTTAGCACTGTAATCGGACCATTCCTATGTTATGGTTTGTTTTGTTTTTTTCCTGTTGTAGTGTGATGTCTATACATTTATCCAGGACTTTAAGAAGAGTTAGGGTCAACCACAGTAACTCTTGTGGGGAGGGGTGAAGGCTGCAAGTTTGCTGGATGGTTGCAGAGTTGTTTTTTGTAAAGTGCAGCTCCCAGTGTTAGTCTCAAAAGGAAATAGCAAAATTACTTACCATGGAGTAGCCATTCTGATTCTTCATTAAATCTTTTTTGTTTTCCCTTTACTTGCTTCTGGATAGGTGAAGAGTGTGCATGTGAAGACTCCCATGCTCTAAAAGAACGACCACCAGAGGAGGTTGCAGCCCGGCTTGCACAACAAGATAAAGTGGAACAAGAGAAGATTTCAGGTATGTAGATAGCATTTGTTATATAACGTCTTATACTACAGCTCAATTCCCATCCATAAAATACATTATAGGCAAATGAACACAAAGATTAATTTGTCTGCTCTGGCTTGTGGTCTGTTTTGGTAGAATTGGTAGTATCCTACCCATGGTGGTTTGAGAGAAACTTGAGTCACAGTGAGCTTTGAGAACCATGGTAGGATACTGGGAATGACCAGCATATCTGGGGCTAGAAAACTTACTTATTTGCAGAATGCCCTTTTATAACTGGTCTTACTCCTGCTTGTAGCTCCTTGAAAGTAGTTAGGGTTGTTGATCAAAAGCAGGTCATGTGTGGGTTACAACTGAAGACCCAGCCAGTTCAGCCTGTTCCCATAGCTGCAGGAGGGTTTTACCAGAGCTTCTGCTCAAAACAGCAAGGATAAAGGAGAGTAAAAAGGATTTATTTCAGCTTTTTGGATTGTAACATTGCCAGCCTCCTGATTTTTTGTGTATTACAGCAAGATTGGTTGACGCCTGGGGCCAGCACAGTTGCTGGCCTTTGCCCTGGGTGGGATAGGGGAGGCTATGTGCCATGTGGCAGAGCATGCGTGACATGGGCATTCCCTGGTGACAAGTAGCAGCAGCATACCTTGTCAGTTTTGGGGACTCATCTTAATCAGCTGTATGTCAAGCTGATAGCCAAACTTTAAGTAACAGAACTCTGGTAATTGCTTCGTTATCTTTTTTATAACTTTTTGCTTCTCCTGATGTCAAAAGTATAAGACTGAAGTAGAAAAGTTGAGACATTACATTGAAAAAAATAATTGACTGCAGTTTCTGCCCCATCACCTGTTCTCAAAGAAGAAAAATAGCTCAAACTAGGTGCTTTTAGATGGAAGAACTTTTATTTTTCTCTTGCTTTTTAAGGACTATTTTAATAACCAGAGACAGAAGAGACTATTAGAGCAAATAAATCCCCCTCCAAGAATAGGATATAGTAGGAGAGTAACAGCAAGGGCAATAAAAGAAATGTGTTAAATATTACTTGTATATGTATACTTGTATATGTATATGTATAAATGCTTTTTGTTATTACTCTCAGTGGAAACGGCTAAAATATATCATTTAATTCATCTTTCTAGCTCTTGCAGCCACTTTGGAAGGAGCGCTGAGCAGGACCGCACGTATAACCCTTCAGGCAATTACAGCACAGGAAGCTGCAGTGCAGGCTGTTAATGCTCATGCTCAGATCCTGAAAGAGGCCATGGATAATTCGGAGGTAATATGCACAAATGCTGACAGGCCATCAGTCTCATTTAAGAATCCAGTATCTATCTAGTCCACTATTAAAGATCATATTGGATAAGAATTTATTTTCCTTGGGCTAGTGTGTAATTGCAGAACTATAGAAAATTAGGGCGGGAACAGATCAAATCTGTGTCCCTGCTTGAGGCAGGATCATCGCTGTCTAATACCTCTCAGAAGATTTTTACTGGTCTTTATTTTATCTTGTTACTGAGGATTTCTGCTTGTGTAATATTTGATGACTTTTTTTTAAAATGAAGTCACAGTATTACTTTTGCTTCTCAGTTTCACTGCCTGTAAACTAGAGACTATATTTACCTACCTATAAGTTCTTCAGAGTTAACATTTAATATATGTAAAAAGATTTTTGAAAAGGATAATGCTAAAATATTATAGTGCACACAGCAACAGCATATCTCCACTGTAGATATCCAAGTGAAATGCACTAGGTAACATTTCATCCAGGGGGTACATACACCTGTAGTGTTCCTTGGCTGAAAGGTTTCAAACAATGCAGCCACCTCAAGCACCAGACTGGAGGGGGTGGGGGGTGGTACTAGAGCAGACTGCTGTGACCTGTGTCTCTGCTCTTCACTTCCCCTTCTTCCTCCCTTCACAGGCAATGGAGGTGGGGGTTGGGAGGAGAGACAAGAGCTGAGCAGAGACATAAAGTTTGTGGTGGGGGCTCTGTGCCAGCAGGCCTCTGATACTCCATCTCCAATCCTCTCTACTTGTTCTCTTCCCCCTCTCAGCTGAGCAGAAAGAAAGAGGAGGCTAGAGTGCCCAGCTCCAGCAGGGGTCTGGCAAGGGGATTGTGGGGTGGGGAGAGGTATAGAATCATAGATAATCAGGGTTGGAAAGGACCTTGGGTCATGTAATCCAATTCCCTACTCAAAGCAGGATCATCTCCAACTAGGTCATCCCAGCCAGGGCTATTATTGAGCTGGGCCTTCAAAACCTCCGAGGATGGAGAGTCCACCACATTTCTAGATAACTTGTTCCAGTGCTTCACCACCCTCCTAGTGAGAGTTTTTTCCTGACAGCCAACCTAAACCTCCCTTACTGCAGCTTGAGAGCATTGCACCTTGTTCTGTCACCACTGAGAACAGTCCAGCTTCATCCTCTTCAGATAGTTAAAGGCTGCTATCGAATCCCTCCTCAGTCTTCTCTTCTGCATAATAAATAAGCCCAGTTCCCTCATCCTCTCCTTGTAAGTCATGTGCCCCAGCCACCAAACCACTTTCGTTGCTCTCTGCTGGACTTTCTCCAACTTGTCCTCATCCTTTCTGTAGTGGGGGGCTTAAAACTGAACATAGTACTCCAGATGTGGCCTTAGCAGTGCAGAATACAGCAGAATAATTACTTCCCTCAATCCACTGGCAACACTCATATTAATGCAACCCAGCATGCTGTTAACCTTCTTGGCAACGAGGGTACGCTGCTGACTCATATCTAGCTTATTGTCCACGAACCCCCAGGACCTTTATGTAGCGCTGCCAGTCAGTCCCCAGGCTGTAGGAGTGCATGGGATTCTTCTGTCCTAAGTGTAGGACTTTGCATTTGTTCTTGTTGAACCTCATAAGATTTCGTTTTGCCCAATCCTTCAATTTGTCGAGGTCACTCTGAATCCTAGCCCCACCCTCCGTTGTACCCACTACACCCCCCCAGGTTGGTGTCATCCATGAACTTGCTGAGGGTGCACTCCATCCCATCTGCCAGGTCATTGATTGGGTCCTAGCTTTGGGTCCCAGCAAGAACTGTGGGGCTCCCAGTGGAGACCCAGCAGTGCTCCAGGACCCATAGTGGTACCTGGCACCTGGACATCAGGCAGGATATCCACTTGTTTTCCTCTTGCGTGCATGACACTGTCTAAATGCAGAGGTGACAAAAAGCTACTGCCCTAAAATAACAGCTCATTTCACAAGGTGACGTTTTGGAGTGATACAGCCACTTTTAGAACATTTCAAAGGGCTTGTTCTTGTGGACAGCTGGGCGTTTCAAGGGTGTCTGAACTGTTTTAATGGCTGTGGCTACCCACACCTTGTTAATAACAAGCTTTTACTACTACTGAAGCATTCCCAGTGGATTTATGCATCCCTGGTTACAGAAGTGCATTTGCTGGCATCCAAGAACTCTAGAATCATAGCATTGGAATAGATCTCGGGGTTCATTTAGTCTAGCATCTAGCAAGATGCAGGATTTACTGTTCCTGAACCACCTGACAGAAGTCTGTCTGTTCAGCTGCTTCCTGAAAACTTTTTGCCACTCCATTCAGAGCATCTGACAAAGCCAGCTGTTACTTATGAAAGTTTATTATGCTTCTCTGAATCGGTGAATCTCTAATGTACCACCCTGCCCTGCCTGAAAACCTCCAGTCAAGGAGATTCCATATATTTCCCTAGGCAGCTCATTCCATTGTACTATTTTTCCCTCTGTTTTAATTAGGAATTTTTACCTGAATCTTGCCATAAATCAATTTTGCTGTGATTCAGACCCACTGACTATAGGACAGATTCAAACTGTAGATATTGTAGCTTTTATTAATCACTTTTTTAAAACATTTGTTTGCTGCATTTTTAAAATTAAACGCAAGCAGTGTTTGAAAGTAAACACCAACTAGTTTTACTGTCTGAAGTTCCAGATGAAAATGCCACGTGTTATTTTCACTGTTTAGACAGAAACAAATAGGAAAGTAAACGGTATAAAACCTGAAAAAGCCCAATTTATTTAAAATGAAGGTAATTACTTTCAAATGACCTGATGTGACATATGTCCTTTGTACATTTGAGTAATTTAGTTTTTAAGTGTGTAGCTGTCTCAGATTTTCCTTTTTGCTGATGATTGTTAGGTACAACAATTTGTCAAGTGTGAAAATTTTTGTGCTTCATATAGGTTCCAGCAGAGAAGAAATCCTCACAGTGGCGAACTTTGGAAGAAGCGCTGAAAGATCGCAGGAAGGCTGTAGATGAAGCTGCAAATGCCCTTCTGAAAGCCAAGTAAAATGTCCTTGCAATTTCATAAGTTAGCTTGTCTCATGGCAAGAAGCAACACAAAGGAGTCTGTGTGCGCACATTAAACTGGCTTCATTTTAAGTGGATTATGCCAGTGTCTGAGCTGATATACTTTATCTTTAATGTTCATTAATTAGTAACATAATTAGCATGTGTGCGCTTCTCAAGTGTTGCAACTGTGTCTTGTGGTAGGTCAATGTTAATGCCTAAAGTAATGACGTTTCCCTCTTTCATTCTAATAAACCAACAAATGTATCAGCTCATTTGTGCTAAGGTAACATGGCAGGACCAAATCATGTCCAGGCTCTTTAACTATTTTTGGACTCCTTTATATAACTTTTTCTGTCATACTCATTTAGATAATCTCGGGTAATTCTGTAACTGCCCTCTGTATGTGTGCAAGGCTCAGTAATACCATTAGGATCTGGTTATAATGGCTAATAAAAGCCTTCTGGTGTATGTTCTGCCAAACCCAGTTACCTAAAACTGGGCTTGCTAATTACATAGGCATTTATAGAGTTATAGAGGCTGCTTTTAGGATCACTTACTCGCAGACTGAGATTCCCTGGCCCACACTGCATTTCTGGTGAAATAAATGTGTTCATTGTGCCATAAATAGCAATGTGTCACATGTTCATTAAATTTATGGCACCATAAAATGGCATACCAGCCACAAAGATATTCCTCAAAAAATGTGCAACACTTTGTGGCTGGTTTATGACTCCATAAATTGAGTATGTGGCATGTCCCATCATCCCAGTGCAGCTGATTAGTTGGTTGTCAACATTAGGACCTAGATAGTCCTGTGGGCTGTGAGGGGAGCCTGCTTTGGCGGAGCACCGAGGAAGCAACATCTCCCGGTGGAGCTGCTGCTTCGGTAACACCAGGAAGTAAAGGCAAGAGCTGATGGGGAAGGTTAGGAGGCTCTTGGTCCTGGGCAAGACCTAAAACTGCACCCTGCTGGGGGTGGGTGGCCTGGTGGGGCTGTTTGTAGTGGCGGAACAGCCCCCGAAATGCCAGGCCAGTTACCACCCTGGTGAAAGGCAAGTAGGGGCGCCTAAACCCCAGCCCCCACCTTCGGGTGAGTAATTTAATATCGGAGGTAGTTCTGGGGCCAGGCACGGCTGCAGCCACCTGAGCCTGCGTGGGGTGCAAGACCCTGTAGAGTGAGAGTAGTGGGCCAGGCGCACTGGTGAGTGCCACGTGAGCCTGTGGGGTGTGTGTTGACCCTAGGCCCCAGCATAAGGGGGACAGAGTATGGGCCTCAGTGGAGGCGGAGGTGTAAAGCGGGGTGCAGTGGGGCGCCTGACAACTGCACCGGCGTAACAGCTGAGAGATCTGGATAGCCTAGCAAGGGCATGGAGCCTAGTGGAGAGGCAAGGAGCCCAGAGGGTAGGAGTCCTGACTGCATGTGCATAGGGCAAGGAGCCCAGTGAGAGTGAGGGGGCTCAGAGCCCAAGAAGAGGGGCGAGTTATGAGGCTCTGTGAGGAAAGGGCATGAAGTGGGCCCTGGTGAGCAAGGGGGTTCAAAGGTAGGCCCTGCTAACATGGGGGCCAGGTTTGGTCCAGGTAAGCCGTCGGGCACCTGAGGCCACAAGTGGGCTAGAGGCCGACTGGGTGAGGGGCAGCTGAGGAAGTGCCACGGGGAAACAACGGGGGGCGAGTCAGGAGCCCCTAATTTAGAGCAGCTGGGTGAGTGACCTGGTGAGGGGCTAGCGGCATAGTCAATTCAGTGTTCTGCTAATTGCCCAGCGCTCACTCGGATGAGGGTCGCGGGAGAGGCGCATGAGGCCACGCGTTTGCTGGCTGGAGAGTGCAGGGAAACAAGCCTGAGGACCCTTCAGGCGAGGGCAGGGTGAGTATGGCCCCGAGGAAAAGGAGGGTTGGTATGAGAGGGGCCGTATGAGAGAGACCGTGTGAGAGGCGGTGGTGTGGGAGAGGCGTCAGTGAGAGGAAGGCGATATGAGTGTGGCCTGCAACAGGGCAGAAAGTAAGAGGCCTAACACTGAGATGAGTTGAGCCTGGCTTCAGGCTGGAGCAGAGCTCAGCTGTTGGGAACATCTGCATGGCTTGGGATGCAGTATAGGGGTGGTTGGAGCTGCATGCAGAGGCCCAGGAGAACAGGGCATTCAAAGAGCAGCCTCCCGCCTAATTAACGCCTCAGTTATGTTTCATCAAGGCATGGCAGGGGAGACAGGTGGGCGGCATACCCAGAGGTAGATGAGGAGACTAGCACTGTGGCTAGTCAGGAGTTCCCATTTTGCCGCGCTAAGGATCAATAGGGTCTACTCTGGCGGTGCAGCTGGGAAGCAGGTGCCCCCTCGGTTGGGACTTGCGTGATTGGGGTTTGAGGAATGTTGTGCCCTGTTCCCGTATAATAAACATTTAGCCTTTGTTTCTGAGTATTTTAGGCAGGATCTTCTAGAATAGTGATTCCAGTAAGAGAAAGAGGCCTGGTGTCAGGTTGGGATGGGAACGATGCTACAGTGTAAATAGCTTGAACAGATGGCTCCTGGAAAAGCTAAGAAAAATCAATACTGAAAGCCCTGAGGGAGAGGGAGGACTCTGGAAAAGCTTTTAGCAAAACAGCAACCAAACTCAGTCATCCTCATGCCCGCCCACCCACTCAGGCAAATATCTGCAATGCTGTTTTCTAATAAATGCAACTTTTGTTTCAAACCTCATAGAAATACTAAATCCATAAACATCTAGGCTTTGCGGTTACAGCTCTCCTTTAGCCGGAAAGGTATTCAGCAGAGTTAAGAGATGTGGGGAAATCATTTGGTTCATCTAGTTCAGTTTCCCTGCCAGTTCAGCTGAGAAGTGAACCTATGAACTTGCTAATTGACAGCTTCTGCTTCTTTGTAGAGAAGAATTAGAGAAAATAAAGGTTGTGATTGATGATGCCAAAAAGTCTCGGATTTCTGGCACCAAATCTTACGTTCTTGCTGCGGAAGAGAATCTTCATCACATGATAGTGGACCTGGACAATGCAATCAAAAAGGTAGTGTTTCCCAAGGCGGCAGTCGTGAGTTGCCACTTGCCAGCATATACTCAGATTTCTGCAGCAGCTTTTATATTTTTAGGGCTGTTAGCTGTAACTTTGTATTTTTGGGCTGATGTGCTATAATGGGTGAACAGACTGTTCCCAATGAGTTCTTCAGAAGACTGACTCATCCCTGAAAGGTTGGCCTAGTTACTTGATCACTGTATGCTTTTATTTCATGGTAGTTGGGCAACATGTAGCTGATGTTGATTCAGTAACAAACAGATAAAGTGTAACAAGGCAAGGGAGCAGTGTTAGTTTTAGTTTCATGCATTCAGGCACAAAGATGCTCTTGAGTTGGCCTCTCTCCTCTGGCCAGGAAAAAATCCTAAATAAGATTAGATAATTACAAAGGATTTTTTTGTGTTTAATTTAAAATAAACGTTCTTGGGAAAATCAAGTTTTTTAAAAGGAGATGGTTGAGAAGAGCATAATCACCATGACCGTGAGGTTAGAACACAGGACTAGGAGCTGGAATTGAACCTCCATTGTGATATACTTCTTGCAGACATTTTAAAAAAAACAAAAAAACCCAACCAAAAACGTGCTTTACTTAAACTCGGTGCTCTCCCGCGCTGAGACCAGCATATGCTCAGGAGAGGCAGGTGTGTTAGTTGGACCTGACTTGCCTGATGTCTGTATGGATCGGGTGTTTTAATAAAGTTTTTTTGGCACTTTTGTCTGATAGCTGATTTGAATAAGCTATAGCTTTAGCTTTAGCTATAAGCTTTAGCTAAAAGGCCAAAAAGCCTTGCTGAAGTTCCCGATCTATACAGATGCTGTGAAGCCGGGTCAAAGTAATGCATTGCTTCTTCCAGTGAAGCATGTGTTTTTTGAGGGGGAGGTATTTTTCTAATTTTTTTTTTTTTTAACATCTGCAAACAGCCATAATGACTTAGTTTATAGGCTTGCTAATAACCTTCCTTTGCGTCCTAATCTGTAACATGAGGATAAAACTCACCTGCCTTGCCAAGGGGTCAGCACTTGTTATGGTTTTTAAGATTTTTCATTAAAATGCATCTTGTCTGCTTATTGACAGAGGGGAGTCAGGACAGATCTAAAACTCTACAGCCAACATGCCACAGGCATGAGATTGTGTCCTGACTGGTTGAATTATACATCAGAGATGTAGTAGGGCTTTACAACTGTTGGGTACCCTAGAATTTAGGATCTGGTCTTCTGATCCTGCCTGTGGCACCAGCTGACCATCTGACTAGAATCCATGTGCAGTGTAGATAGAGGGAGGAGGAAGGTTTGCAGTAATAGCTACAGCCGTGAATTACTCTGAGAGTACTTTGGATGAAATGGTATTAAAGTCACTTGGTAAATTTCATTTTGATATATTGGTGATGGAACAGACACTGCTGCTAATGAGTGAAGTGGGTGCCTGTGCTATATATGTATGACATTTGGATATTTGCCTTGAAAGGTAAACTAACTCTTCCTTTTTTCCTCCTCCTCCTTTCCAGGTTCAGGGAGCTCAATCTGAGGCTAAGATAGTAGCTCAGTACCATGAGCTTGTAGCTACAGCTCGGGATGAATTTCAGCGAGAACTTGATAGCATCACTCCAGATGTAGAGTCTGGCTGGAAGGGGCTAAGTAAGTCTTGGACTCTGATGTTACCTTTAATGTTTGATACACAAAATACTTCGTTTTTCCCACATCGCTGCATCTGTGCCCACTGACTGAGTTGTTTCAATTTTTGTCTGATAGTTTTGACTGGTTATCAACTGCTTAAAATATTTTAAAGTAAATTTTCTGTAAACCAGCTGGTACAGGAGACCCTCAGTTTGGATGGGTAATTGAGAGAGCAAGTCTACTGTCATTGATGAAAATGCAAGATACAGGCTTTGTACAGACATTCAGTTTTTCCCAGGAGGAGTTGTTGCTCTTCCAGAAGAAAACACGAGTATACATATGTTGAGGCTTTTTCTCCCAGAGTAAAAATAGCCACTTCAGGAGAAAAATAACTTGGGTACAACCAGAGGTGCAGTGATATATTAGTTGCCTATCAGTTTGGCACAAATAAAAGGGAAATTTACATTATCAGCTGTTGGCTTTTTTAGGCCGTTGTAGCCAATAATGTTTTCTGATACTTATGCCTTCTGGCCAAGGCCCCTGGACACCTGGGTTCCCTCCTGTGAGCTGGGGTGAACCTGGGTACACCCCCATCCCCCCCACCAGCAGGCCAGGCTGGGTTGGAGCAGAGCAGCTGCTGCAATTTCCTGGGTGCTGGTGTGGCATGGACTGCAGGCTGGGGCTGGGGCAGGTGCTGTAAAAGGCACCAAATACTGCAAACGTGACTGGGGCGGCCAGAGCTGATATGCCTGGCCTGGCCCAGTGTGACTCAGCCTGCAGTGCCTGGGGGGTCTGTGCCTCCGGGACTAGGGGCAGAGCATGGCAGGTTCTGGGGCAGCCTCTCCTCCCTCTACTGTCAGAGTTGCTCAGTCTCTGGTCCCTCCCCAGAGCGCAGCAGCATACGGAAATGCAGCCAAGCCTCCCTGGGCGCACAGTAGTAGCAGAGTCCCATGTGTTCCATGCCTGGCTGCACCAGCCACCAGTGAGGGCAGAGGGGGATAAAGGATGGGGCAGGGGGGCAAGTGCCTGCTGTGGGTCTGATTCTGGCTCTGACCTAGGCTTGGGGCTGGAGTGGGAGCTGCAACAGCCACCTGCCTCTCTTCCCGCCAAAGCTGAGGAAGGGTTCTCCTCCCCACCTCTCCTCTCCCCCCTACACAGTGCACATGGTGGGGGGCTAGTCTTACATCCGAGGCACTGGGGTATGTGCTGCCTCATGGGGGATGAGGCCCCTCACAGCTGCACCTCTCTGCAAGCCACATTCTGCCCACCTTGCCCCAGCACCAGCACTCAATCCCCTCTCGTGGTCAGGCAGCAAAAGTAAGGATGAGGGCTCTGAAGGAGAAGGGGGAAGGCAGTGTCTCCCTTTTCCCCAGGTCATGCACATGCTGCTGCTTCACGGAGCTCAGGGGAGACTCCATCCCCCGCACCTGGCAGTGGCTGTCAGAAGCTGCCTCCTCCCCTCTCTCTCCCCCCGCAACCACTCACCGCCCTGGGCAGCCATGGTTTTGCCTTGAGCAGGAGGAGAACAAGGAGCCTGGCTCAGAAACCACCCAGCCCTGGGCAGCCAGGTAGGCTTAGGCAGCTGCCTCCCAGGCTGGGGTTGAAGGCCAGGAGCCGAAGGGCTCTGCACAGCCAGTTGCAGGCACTGCCAGGCTAGCCCTGCCTACTGCAACTGGCATGGGCAGTTTTACATGTGCTCCAGGAGTTCAGGGTGGGGGGGCGCTTTAAATAGAATGGCTTCGGGAGCTGCTATAATAAAAGTGCCACTGTGTCTCCTGTATCAGTGTCCCTACACTTAGAAATGTTTCTAAATATACTAAATACCATTTATCCGATGTGTATTGGTGATATGGCTGGTTAATAATTGGCTATCAGTATCAGCCAGGAAAATCGTAATCGGTGCACCCCTAACGTCCAGGAGAGTTACATGGTGACAACACAGGCTGACCATGGGCTGTCTGGGTTAGCCAGTCAGGGCAGTCCTATGCACTACTGTCATCTGTTGCCAGGCTGACTAAGGGAGCCTAGAGAGCATGCCTGTATATGTGCACAAACCGCCCCTCCCCTTGCAAAGTGTCAGCACTGCAAGCTCTCCACTCTTCAGAGTCTCAGCATTCAAATGTCTGCACTTGTGGCTCTGGGTAAGTTTATCTGCCATGAAAGATATCAGATTTACCCAAAGAACCATGTCTGCCTATGTCCTTAGACCAACACAGCTATAACCTACACCCCTGGAAGAAACATGGGAGAATTTTTCCAGATTATTTGAATGGGTGTACGATGCCACAGCAAGTTTTTTTTTTTTTTTGGTAAGGTTTCTTTTTTACTCCCAATCAAGTACCACCAGTGAGATTTCACTGGCTAAGGCACTTATCTGTCTGCAGGGGAGTCACTTAGGTGTCCAGGTGTCCTAGGAGGAGTGATGCAGAGTTCAGACTATGCAGTGAGGTGAGATGCTCTGACCCACTTCACTATGGGAGTCCTTTCAGTATAACACAAGCACCTATTACAGATGGGGCAGTTGGAGGAACTTGGCTTTTTGCTGGTTTCATTAAAATTTGAATTTGATTTAAGAATTTGAATTGTGAAATAGTTATGAAAAATAAAGATTATCTGTAGATCAGTGAAGAACTCTGCACTGGCTTCCTTGAATGTTTTAAGAGACTGTTAGTGCAGTTGCAGTGTAGTAGCTAGATTAGGTCCACTCTCACTGAAATGAAGGCTATTCATTTATTTTTATGGATGAAGGTCTTGCGAACTACTGAACAGCCGCTCTTTTTTCACTAGTCATCAGTGATAAGATTGTTCAGCAACAGAAACGGAGCACTAGGATGTTTCTCCTTTTTGGAAGTAGGGTTTAAGTAAATATAGCTTTGCCTTCTTTTCGGGGATGCCCCAAATTAGCAGTTGAGTATGGGCTTATGTTCTGGCTTTGACTAGGGCCAGAATAATATGCATGTTTAAATGCTCTTGAAATCAGGACCTTGCTCCAGGTGAATGGTTTGGTGTTGATCTGACAGTGTGAGTCCAGAACTCTGACATTTTGCTTCCTGGACATAGTGGCGACCATTACTTATGGGGGTTTTTTGTGCTGAGGATATAACTTTTAATGGATCTTCCAGATAGCAAAGACATGTATATGATTCTTCTTAATGGTGTTGGTTTACACAGCAGTTAAGAGATGCTGCTGTAATTCCAAGATGACTCCATTTGTTTTCTACTGTCCTGAGAATGCATATTTCTCTGTAGAGGACTCTGGCTATGTTTGCTTGCAGTGAGATGAAACAGCTGTGGTGTAAACAGTTTTTTACTCCAGATATTTACCTAGAGAGATGGGTAGGAATTAGAGAAAATGGGTGCACGTGTGTTCTTTTTTCTAAGCCTAGTTTGTATACGGTTTGCTGCTTTGCTGCTCCAGTGCAAAACTGTCTACTGTTAATATTTCAGCTCTTCTTGGTCTGTCTGTGAAATCTGAATTTCTTACTGTTTGAGGGAATCTGTGAGGTGCTTGGGCTTTTCATACCTTGAGGTTGGCCCCTTCCCCAGCTTAGAAATATGCCCAAGATTAGAAATAGTTTGCTACAAAAGTCATCTGAGTTGCAAGTTATTGAAATTTGGAATTTAATTTTAATTTACCCTATTGCTATACCCTAATTATAATAGTTTTATAACTTGCTAAGCTGTAGTGTAGTACTACAGAATTTAAGGTTTTATTTTTGACAATATAAAAATGCACTTTTCGGATTTACAGTGCAACTATTTCATGTTTGTATGCAAGACCATTACCAATCATTTGCCTAACAGAGTTACTGAATTAGACCACAGTAGGTTGTTGTATTTTCTCTGATGACAGTTTTGTGCTGAAGTGCATAACATAGCCATAAAGACTCACTTCAGGCACCAGAATAATTTGACAGGTTTTTGTAGATGGTAAACTAAGTATTCTCCAAATTCTCTAAAACTGCATTTGTCTTTCTGTCTGGTAAATGCTAAAAGTTTGTTCTTGTTAAATGAATATTGACAGATATGAGCAGCTTATTTAAAGTGTAAAAAGGCTTTGTTTAAACAGAGGAGGCTATTGCAACCCACTGCTGTGAACTGTAGCAGGTTCATCTTAAGTTGCTTGGGTTTGAATCTTAAAATCATTTCCTACAGTTCATGCTTGACCCCAATCCAGCAGTGGACATTACACTTTGGTTGGGCTCCCTATGTCCTCAGTTTCACCTGCAAGCTATCCATTTCAGGGTCAAGTTCGAGAAGGGTCACATACACTCTGCCATTGTTCTTGGGCATAAATCTTCCCCATAGTCATCTGCTTTAACTATTCAAACTTTGAGAGCATGTTCTTAACTGCAGCTAACTTGATTAATTAATATCAGTAAACTTGGTTCCAAGTTCCATTTTGAAGTGTTTGTTAGTAACTGCCGTGGCCTTTTCCTTTGGAGTAACTGAAACTGCCGGAGTAACTGCAAAGAACAATATCCTTGCTGTATTTCCTAATTCAGATTTTCCCCTTTGATTAAAATGCAGAGGTTTGTCTGCACTGCTCCTTTGCTGTGACCATTAAACTTCTACAATCTGCATTTGTGGCTTTCTAAATGGGCTTTGTTTCGGGCTGCATTTTAGTATTACATGAAAGGAGGAAGTGCTAAACAGCATAATACTGACTTATATTCTGAAGCCAGAAGTGGTATGTTTCCACTGACACTCCTGTGCGCTTTTTGTGACTAATGGATTTGCTGCAGTGAATGTGCATTAATTTTTTCAAAACTCTCCTCTTTCTGTTGCAGAGATAACTGATATAGGTGAGTTACTAGAACTTTTTTCTCCTGCATGTTGTCTTCATTCTGTTTTTCTGCGTTGGTGTTGTGTATTGCTTTACTCAGCATCACCTGAGTGCTAACTTGCTGCATACTTAAAATGGATTAGCACTGAGGCTTGCCCTGGGACTCTCTTTTATTTAATTTCTCCACTCATCTGTTAATATCACAGAGACTCCAAGTAGCTTTGCTGCTCAGGTAGAGTGGCTTTAGTTGTTCCTCTGTAAATAAGAAGAGATTATGGAGCTTAGAAGGTTTTTAGTTAATGTAAGCCTGTCCACAATACCTTTCAACTCTTCTGAGACTAGAGTTGGAGCTCAAGACTGTGAAGCAGGATCTCCCATGCTCTAATCCCCACTCTGGCATTGACTCTGACTTTGGTTATGCCACAGATTTCCATGTGCCTCCTGTTTGGGGTGCCTCAGCCTTGGAGGCCCAACTTGTGGCACTGGTAGTCTGCTGAGTGTCCAGAGCCTGCTGGTGCTATTGGAACCCAGCACCTCCTGAAAATCATGCTGTTGGTCTCAAGTAGGGCCTCCAGAATGAGTGGACTCTCTGAAAATGCCGGTTTTATTCCCTGTACTCCAGGTTTTTTGCCCGAGATAAAAAATATTTAAAATTTTTAAAAAGTGAAGACAAAGTGACACCACATTCCCCTGACAGCAGTATGAGGAGGGACAAATAAACTGTCACTGGAATAATCTTCCGTCCTGCCCCAGGCCCTGCATTGGGGTAGGGGGTGTTAGCTGCCTTAATGGAGACTAGAAACTCCATAACGCAATCTCCGAGTAGAGCCAGAGCCTTAACTGCATCAGTCTCTCCCTCCTTCAGTGCTGACTCAGCATCATGCCAGGGAGGTCAGCCTGTTGGGCTATTTTGGAGCAGAGATAAGAAAGGTTCCTCAAGCCCATCCATTTCAGACTGATGTGGATTCAGCTCAAGCCCCTCCCTTCAACTATGGGAGAATTGCCTGAAACCAGCAATTCTGCTCCTTGCACTCTGGTGCTCCTGCTTAACCCTTGGCTAGCTAGGCCTTTGCATGAAACATCAATACCATAATCTACATTTTGAGGTCAGTAGGCAAAAGAACAGGCAAGATATGCCTACAGTAAGATACTGAATGAGCTGCTGTGTTCAGCACTGACTGTTTCCTTGGGAATCAGCTTGAGACCCAGGCTCACTTGGGACAAAATGCAGCATTCCAGTCTCTAGGCATTAAAGACAGGAATCACAGGGGTATCAAACTCACCCTGGGCCTTGGACTGGATCCTGACCATGGCACTCCTGGGCCAGCGACTGTGGTGGTGGTGGGGTCTGAAGATGGCAGTGGGCATCTAGGGATTAGCTTGCTGTCAAACATCAGGGCCAATGGGGCCCAGGGACTTTAATTTTGGGGCATGCCATGTCCTCCAACTTGCATTAGCCTCCAGGCCTCATGTTTGACACCTGTGATTTATGTCATACAGAAAAGCCAGCAGCCCCCTCGCCAGAGACGGACATAGTTCTGGTCACTGCTCATTCGTCTTGCTTGTACCCACTCATGTCCAGGCTCTGGGTTGGCTTTACCTGATAGCTCTTGAGCACTGTGTGGCTTACCAGAGCAAAAGTGCATGATGCTTTAAAAAACAATGAAAGGGCATGTCTGTGCCCTGAGGAGCTTACATTTCAATAATAGACTTAACGCGCTGTGGCAGAACTTGTAGATGAGGAAAAATAGGACTAGGAAAGCAAGGGTTAAGTGTGACACTGCAGTTGCTTCTCCCTGTATTTTAGAAGAAGAGTAATTTACTTTGTAGATATCCAGCAAGTGAGCTTGGATGGGTATTGGCATAAGGTGAGGGTTAGATGGGCTAGAGGGTGGGGTGTGTACGTGTTTGCATGTGTAGGGTTCGGCGGGAGCTGTGGTGTCTGCCTTTCTACAGATACATTTTTAACACTGCCTGTCCTTCCTAGCTGGCCAGCTGTCAACAGATGACTTAAATTCTCTCATTGCCCACGCTCATCGTCGCATTGACCAATTAAACAGGGAACTGGCTGAGCACAGAGTGAGAGAGCAGCAGCACATTGAGATTGCCCTGGAAAAGCAAAAACTGGAAAACAAGAAAGCACTTGAGACTGCAGTGGCAAAAGCACTGGAGCACCATAAAAGTGAGCTCCAGATCGAGCAGGAGAGAAAGGTAAGAGCAGCCTGGTCTGTCTTGGCATCTTCCAGCATGTAGGATTTAGCAGGGATTTCTGCCATGTAGTGTATTGGTAATTAATAGCATGACAGTGGCTTAAATGTGTTACAGTTTTGAGACGGACAAGGTTCCTTGGGTGGATTGTCTGCCTATATCCTTAGACCAACACGGCTACAACCTAAACCCTTACAGCTTTGAAGCCCTTGGTGTGCAGCTCCAAATCGAACAAGTAGAGTAATGTTTTCAGAAGATCTGAGTCACTATTTGTGGAAGGCTATATCTCATGTGATCAGAAGAGTGCAGAGGGCAGATTAAGCATATAAATTGCTTGGGAACACTCTTGAACACCAGAGGGGAAGAACCTGGCTCAGAGTCACTGGCAGAAATTTCATTGATTTCACTAGGACCAAAGGTTTCACCCTGGGCCCTGATTGCCAAAACCATGTTCCGAGTGATCTTGGCTTGATGACTGTCTTCTTCCCCAGCTGTTTTAACTGAGCTCTGTGAGGTCAGGTCTGTTCTGGGTTTTTTGCAAAGGAAGGGAGACAACTAAAATCTCCTTTTATCAGGTGGTTAAAAAGCTCTCTCCCTTCAGAGATTTTTTTTTTTTTGAGCGTATAGTTAAAAAGTTTCTGCTGCCATCTGCTAGCTTCTTTAATGACTTTTAAAAAACAAATAGTCACTTCTGAAGCAGGAGTGGGTCCAGTGTTCAGTAGACAACCTCATCTATACTCTGTTTCTATGGCTCAGAAAATAGCACACCCCATAGTGCAATACCTTTTCTGCCTTTCAGTTGAAGCCAGTGTTTGTACTTCAGAATGGGAACTGTTAGCTCTCCCATGAGTATACTCGCTGCCTATTGCTGGTGTTAGAAACTGTGCTCCTTCTTTGGACTTTTTTTTTTTAATACAGTTAAAGAGAACCTTAAAAGCATCTATATCTTTTCTTTAAGTGTATCTGGAGTCTTAGAAATCTCCTTGATCTGAGGAATGTGTGCTCTAGAGACCTAATGCAGAGTTCTTTTCAACATTGCTCTTGCTGTTGGCAAAACATTTCAAGGTGAAAGTTTAACACCTTGTGCTTTCTCACAGATGGAAGAAGTCCGAGAGGTAATGGAGACCGAAATGAGAACCCAGCTTCGCAGGCAGGCGGCTGCCCACACTGATCACCTGAGAGATGTCATTAAGGTTCAAGAACAGGAGCTCAAGCTGGAGTTTGAGCAGGTGAGAGAGGAACCCGTGTTAGTTGGTAGCCTTGCTCCCTGGGGTAACGTGAGTCTCCCAGGGCAGCAGCCTTACTAATGCATCTTCCAGTATGTATTTAAAGCAGGCCAAGGAATGAGTCCTGTTGAACTGGGAAACTAGAGAAATACACCATTTAATGACTCCTGTAATTGCTTTTGCTGTAGGAGAGGGGGCTTCTTGCTGCTATATAGCAAGGACTGTTTCACCCTAGTAATAAGCTAGAAAGCCTGATCCCCAGTGCTGTGTTATACATTGAGACCCAAATGTGTTGGGAAGGACTGGGATAAGCTGGGGCAGTTTGTGCTGCATGACTGAGTCTTTTCACGTGTCCCTGTGTGGAATTGCTACATTACTTAAGGGTTTTTACTTGTTCATTGCAGAACTTGTCTGAGAAGCTGAGCGAACAGGAAATGCACTTCAGACGCCTTACGCAAGACCAACTGGACAACTTCACTCTGGACATAAACACAGCCTATGCCCGCCTGAAAGGAATTGAGCAGGCAGTTGAGAGTGAGCCTGAGCTAGCTAGAGCCAAGACTTGAGAATTTATGGCCTCAGATTGGGTGACTGAGCATGTAATTAGGCATGACGTCTCAAGTGCCAGCAGGCTTCGTGACCCAGTGCCCTTCAGGCAGAGGGGTGTGCTCTCTGCCTTTTGAATTCTACTTCAGAAGCAGCTTTCCTGGTCATTGGGTAGGACTTGGGTATAACAGTATGCAGGATTCACACCTTGCTTCAGTGTTGAGATCATATATGTATCTACTAGAGGGCAGGCGAGTTCTAACACCTCCAAAAATAGCTAGCTGATTCCTAGGAAGGGAATGAGCCTTCTTGTTCATGCTTTAAATTGACTGAGGGTGGAGCGGACCTTTTAGAAATGTCCCACCTTGGTGCGACTCTTTATGTCTGTGTGCCCCGATCCTAGATGAACTGGTTCTTTCTGGGTTTGTTGCAGGTCACGCGGTAGCTGAGGAAGAGGCCAGGAAGGCCCATCAATTGTGGTTATCTGTGGAAGCTTTAAAATACACCATGAAAACTGCCTGTGGGGAGAGCCCTACTGAACCACTGCAGAGCGCAGTTGAGGCCATCAGAGCCAGCTGTTCTGACAATACATTTACTGAAGCCTTAATAGCAGCTCTCCCTCAAGAATCGCTGACACGGGGAGTCTACAGTGAAGAGGCCCTCCGGGCACGCTTTTATGTAGTCCAAAAACTGGCAAAAAGAGTGGCCATGATTGATGAGACGAGGAACAGCTTGTACCAGTACTTCCTGTCCTACCTGCAGGCCCTGCTCATGTTTCACCCTCAGCAGCTGAAGCCACCTGCTGAGCTCAGCACCAATGACCTGGACACATTTAAGTTACTGTCTTATGCCTCCTATTGTATTGAGCATGGAGACCTAGAGCTGGCAGCTAAATTTGTCAACCAGTTAAAGGGCGAGTCTAGGCGAGTGGCGCAGGACTGGCTGGCTGAAGCGCGAAGGACCCTGGAAACAAAACAGATTGTGGAAATCCTGACTGCCTACGCCAGTGCCATGGGCTTGGGAACAATCCAAGTGCAGTGAGTCAGGAGTCTATTTTTGGAAGCAGTTGGATACAGAATTGTTCCTGTGCTGGAAAGAAATGAGGAGTTTAAGGAAGTTTGCGTTCTAGGACATTGGCATGGGCTAGCAATGTTTGTCAACCACGGGTACCGTCCTGTCTCCTTGCACTGTACTGAACCACCTATTGTGTTTTGTTGTTTCTGTCATCATTGTGACAGCAGACTTCAGGAAAGCTTTCTCTGCCATATGCATAACAACTTTTGTTTCCAGGTCTTAACGATCGGGCTTGTGATCCAACCAAAATAATGTTTGTAACCCACCATTACTGATTTGCCACTTGGTGCAGTTAAATAAAAATGAGGTGTAAAAAAACCAACCCACGACTCGTGCTGTTCAGTTCTGCTTTTTGAATATATAGCACACATGAATGGGTTGTGAACGGGGAGGACACTGCCTCCAGACTGGCAATTTCATGGGCAGCATGTTTTCCGGAGATGCCTATTTGATGAGGTTGACAGGGAGAGTAAAGCAACATGGTAGCTACAGCAGTTAAGTGCTCAGTATTGTAACCCTGTGTCAGTAAAGGTCTTCTGCAGTACACCAACCAGCAGTCTCAAACTGACAGGAAGAGGAGACTAAAGCAGTATTAAAGCAGACCAGTGATGTAGGAGCCTGAAGGGATCAAAGGCCTGAAGCTGAGGGACACAAACTCTTAATAACTGCATGAACATGCTTCATTCAGCTTCTAGGGACTAGCTACTCTCTCATGGCCCTGGCTGTCTCTTTCTAGAGAAGATAGTGCCAGTACTATTTTTTGTGCAATTGTACTTAAAATATTGAACAGCATCAAGATAAGAACAAGTCTGAATTAAGCATCTGTGTGCTTGTGTTGTGCAGTTCAGGTTCCAAAAAAAAAATGGTTCCCCTTAACATATGGCTGAAGGAAAAGACTTGTAATGAGCCTGAAATAACCCAGGCTTGGACAGGACAGTTCCAGCTGCATATAAAGGATTATCCTTGACCATCATCTGGTTTAATTAGATGATAACTGGAAAGCCATAGACACATCTGTCCCCTCGTAATAGAGTTAGGTATGTGTATGGAATTTGGATAGCCTGGCTACTGGCTCTGGGTGCTTTATTTTGGAGTGTAACATTATTCTGTACCAATCCTTCCAAAGCCAGGTGTAGTAAGAGGCTGACTGCAGTATTTTACTCAAGTTAACCCAAGGTATTAATAATGATAGCAGGTTATAGTCTAAGGCAGTGGTGCCCAACTTTGTAGGGCTGTGCAAAACAGCATCGTTTCATTTCGACTTCTGTTTTGCCATTTCAAAGGGCCAGTGTTTCGTTTTGTTTCGTCGAAGCTGTTTTGATGTTTTGCCCGTAGACTGTAATGAGGAATCATGAAGTGCTTATAACTGTCACTTCTTGCCTGATTCGGATGAAAATTGCAGGGATGGTGGTAGCCCCTTCTTAAGGCATTAATCCTGCCAAGTTTCAAGGAGATGGGTGCAGGGGTTTCTGGGAAACCACCTCAAACTGCTAAAAGCAAAACTCGTGTCGTTTGCTGGCAGTGGCAGCCTCCTGTCATCCCACGCACAGATCTGGGGGTCTGCACCCCTGGGAGGAGTCCAGCAGCGCTGGGAGGGCAGGTTGAGCTCTGGGGCTGGCAGGGCCGTTCGGAGCGTAGCTCTCCCCACCTCCCACCACCAGGCTGCACTCCAAGCGGCTCCATCAGCCCCACGGGGCTGAGCCTGGTGGTGGGAGGCAGGCACTCAGAGCGACTCTGCCACTGGCTCTCCCACCGCTGGGCTGAGCTCCATGGGGCTGGCAGAGCCGCTCAGAGTGCAGCCCTGCCAACCGCAGCCCAGTGGATGAAGGCTCTGCAGCCCTACAGAGCTGAGCCTGGTGGCAGAGCGCCAGTGGTGGAGCCCTGGCGAGCACAGCACGGCGGCAGGAGGCTCCGCAGCCTCAGAGCTGAGCCTGGCGGCGGGAAGCAGGGGAGAGCCACTGGCCAGGGATGTGCTCAGAGCGGCTCCACCACTAGCTCTCCTGCTGCCTCCCACTGCCGAGCTGAGCTCCGTGGGGCTGGCAGAGCCACTTGGAGCACAACCCTGGCTCTCCCCTGCCTCCTGCCACTGGGCTGCTTTGAAACGTAATGTTTCAAAACTTCTGAAACATCTCGAGTGCCCTCATTTTGTTTCATTTCAATTTCGCTATTTTGAGCTTGGAACACATCGAAACAACTTAGAAACGAAACGCTCATTGAAATTTCGGACAGCCCTACAACCTTGCCCTGTGGGCCGGATGAGCAGTGCCAGGTCAGTATGTGGGCTCAATTCCAGCACACACTCTTCCACAGGGCTGCTCCAACTGCATCAGCTTGGGAATTAAGCAGCAGAGGAGCAGCAGTCATGTTAATTGCTACCGCTCCCCAGTACCAATTTTCCAGACCCATAGACAGCTTGGCAGGACTGATGATGGGATGCTGCAGGTGGGGGGCTAAGCACTCCTGGTGTAAAGTATTTTGGTGTTACTTAAATGCAAGCCTGTTTGCTTTGTATTTACATCATCTTTCAGCCAGGAATGCATCAAGTGTTTGAAATCAATTTGCTTTAACTCTTTCTCTTGCTTAAAGTGAGCCATCACATGTAATAGCTGCTTTACTTGCTAAAGCCACCTGGATGTAAGCTGCAGATTCAACAAAAACTCCCCCTATGTTCATTGTCGATAGCAGAACTGGCAAAACCAGTGTTTCTTCAGATGCTGCGGTGTTCACGTTTGCGATGAGTCAAGACTCTAGCCCATATTCCCTGTGCAGTATGTGGCAGAGTAGCCACCTCTAATAATAGGTAACTTGCTGCCAAAACTGCTCTTGCCTAACAGAGATCCATCTTTCCTGACAGTGGTAGCTAGGGAAGGGAAGAAATGACTGAGCCATGCAGCACTTCACAACTATCCTCTACAAAACCAGATGAGAAGGATCAAGAACCTCCTCCCCCCAGCCTGAATGGGCAAATGCTGACCTTGAGGCAGCAGCTTAACTGTCACACCAGCTGGAAGTAGACAGTTGCCTCATACAGCAGGGTGCATGTCTGCCGAGAAGCAGGGCCGCTCCTGGACTCTTCTGCAAGGCAGAGGTAGAGTCAAAGTCACAGCAGAGGAAGACAGAACTGCAGCTTCAAAGATTGCTGCCCTGTCAGTGTCCTACAACTCTAGAGCCCATCTCATTTTGCCCTCCTACATATCCAGATGTTGGTTTAAGTCCCTTGGAAGACATACTCAAGCTAAGTTCTGAGTGTGCGTATTTCTAGATGCAAAGAGCAGAGCACTGACTAGAGTTGAAGTAGGAGCAGCCATTTTTACTCGTTAGGAAGTCCCAAACTATATAGACCATCATCATACATGGCAGCTATCACAGCTCTAGCATCTGTAACCCACTGGTCCAGAACAGCAGCTGGGGAACGGCGAGAAAGTCACCCTGTATAAACTGGCGTTATTTTGTACAGGGTATTAGGAATGGATGCAAGAGCAAAGGCTGCATTCAGCAGGTCTGTAAATTAGGCACAGCAGTAGGGCTTGTACAAGTGGTACATTCCTTCTTTGGAGTATGTCCCGCCATGCAATGGACAAAGTTGGAGTAGGAGGGTTGAAACTCCTCTGCTGGCTCCCGGGAGAGAAGTGCTGGGAGAGCTTGTTCAATCCTCATATAGAACAGCACAAGCTTCTACAATGTTTTACGTCTGACTGGTCCAACAAATCCTTTGTCCCGCAACGCAAAAGTTATTGCCACAGCCCACGCAGTTCTCTCGCTTCCTTTCATTTGGCTCTGGAACAAAGCAGTGAAAAGTCTCGTTCTTTGTTCGTGAGGCAGATGATCATTTGTCACTGTCGCTATCACTATCACTATCGTCGCTAATGTTCTTCAAAATCTTCCTGGAAAATGAAGAAGGAAATTAAAGAGGGTTACAACACATCAGTGACAGTGGACATGGAGGAGGTCAGCACACAGTGGGCTAAACCAAGCTTACTCTACAGCTGTCTGTACTACTGGCCCCTGGCAGAGAAGCAGTCTCCCAATTGGTGACTTTGTGTTGGGAGAGAGAAGGAAGCAGACTGGAACAGGAGCCAGGCCATGAGCTGGGATTCAAGGGGTTTCCTTTCCTTCCAGGTCCCAGAAAGTTGTTGACAGGAGCTGCTTCACTTAAGCAGGCTTGACTTGGGCTTGCAGACAGCATCACAATTTGAGAGAAGTTTCTCTTAGAAACCAGAAGCACCTGCTGCTGGCAGCACCTGAGAAGTTCCTGGGATGCCTGAGCACACCACCACCCTTCACCATTTTTACAGCAGAAAGTCTGTTGCCTTAATGTGACAGAAGCCAGGCATTTCCACTCCCCCCAAAAAAGGTCTCTCTCTCTCTCTATTTCTGCTTACCCAGGGGAGGCCTAGTGCTGTCCCTGGCAAGTTCAGTTTCTCCCTGCCTACAGTGAACTGCTCATCTCACCAACTGGGAAATAATTTAGAGTGAGCCAAGCCCCTCTGGCAAGCAGGCTGAGGGAAGGGGCAATGGATACTGCTGAGCTCACGTGACTTGCAAGGACTTGAGCAGCCCTCTTCATGGGGGGTGGGGTGGGAGAGGAGAAGAGTGAAGTGTAGGGTTTCCTCCAACGAGAGGACTGGAGGAAGGGCTAAGGCATGCGGTATCACAACCAAATATCTCTTTTCAGCTCCTAGGGGCGTTAACAGAAAGCCAAAGGGGCAAAGGCTTCCCAAGGTGGCACATGCATTATCATCCATTACAATAAAACAGCCCAGCTTACTTCTGTTCTTCAGAGAGCTCAAACTCCTCCAGCACCCTGCTCGCGAGCTTTGGGGTCGTTGGCAAACTAAAGTCAGCAGCTAGCTTTACAAGCTTGAGGGCCTGGTCAGGGAGGTTGCTGCGTTTGATGGAGTTCAAGACCTCATCCAGCACCAGGACACTGCAAAGGAAAGAACAAGATGAATGCTGAGCCACTGGCTCACTGAAAGATACTTGGCAGTTCTGGGATGAGATTTCCACAGGCACTCAGCCTGGGTGTAACTTTGCCCCTACTAGTCATTGGGAGTTTTAACCTTTGCCTCTGAAGCAGGTAGGCCTGGGTACTTTTAAAATCCCTTCCTCCATAAAAAAGTTGCCAATCACAGCTGATCTTCTTCACTAGGCGAAATACATCACCCCTTGTCCCACCTTTGATGATGCAGAAGGGGTGATGTGATCTTCCTGCTTTCCCTGCCCAGCCAGACCCAGGGCATGGGTCTGGCTGAGCAAGGAAAACACAGGCAAGACATTCACTGCAATAAAGTGGTAAAGTCTATTCCCACCCTATGCTGCATCACTGATT